TCTATGTTAGGTTTTGTTCTTTGGAGTACGAAAAAAGTTCCAGAACTCATATTTTTTACTTTCTTGTCTTGGGGATCAATCTTGAGGGTGGAAACTTAGAGATTTGACTCTTGGATTTGGTTTTTCTATTGTTCTCGACATTGGATTCGTTAATCGTAAGCTTTACTTTCGTTTTTCTTTCGATTGAGATGGCTTTGATTATTGAATATGTTGATGTTGAATGCATGATGAGTAGCTAAATTCACTAGCTAGGGGTAGGGGATTATCGGTCCGGTTCGATTTAGTTTAAATGCTTGGTAATTGCTCATCTTTTCGAGTTGTGCTTAACCTAGGGTTTGGATGCTTGATCTCCATCTTAATCTAATTAATCAATTTAAAAACCGAAAGGGGATAAATTGTTCGATCTAGGCTCGTTAAGAATAGGCTTGTTCGGTAACGTATTGCCTAAGTGCTAATTGATTCGTGATTGATTTATTTATGTTTATTCTCTTATTTCGTGAGATATTGAGAATGAGTCTCTGGATGAGTTAGTTTATTGAGTCCTTTAGCCGAGTAATTCATTGTCTGCTAAATGCATTGAGAACCGGAAGCGAGATCCCCGATACCCTACCGCTTTTATCATAATTGTTCTTCGTCCTTGCTTACTATTTTCTCTGCTTTGTTTAATTATTTGAAGTAGCTGATAACTGAAAACCCATCCAACTATTTGGTTTAGAATGTTTAGGAATTTGATTTCTTTTAATTGTGTTGAGTAAACGTGCTTAATAGTCCGGCTAACCTTCCTTGCGATACGACCCGGGGAACGAATCTTTTGATTCTACTCCGGTAAAAATACTCACAACACCTAGTACAAATTTAAATGTGAATATGAACAAATAAATTAAACTACAACTAATTTATTTGGTTTCTTACGTTATAAGTTTCTCACTTCTAGCAATCAAATTTCTTTTCTTAGTCTCCAAAGCAATCAAATATCTTTTCTTAGTCTCCAAAGCGATCACAAGTATGCACAAATAATGATTATTTACTCAAACAAAAGAACAAACATAAGAAATACTAAACAAAAGATACACTAAAATGGATTAAATAAAAATCATATTATAGATCAATAACACGTGTACTAACACATTCTAACTCCAAGTAAAATAGCCTCAAATCATTAACCTTTTTTTTTTTGAAACAGCGGATTCATTAACTAAATCACATAATTATAACTGGCTAACTAGTCGAAATATGAGGTCTACTCAAGGCAGCTTAGATACCACAACACACACTATAAGATAAAAAA